ACTATTACAGTGCTCTATTGTTTTGGTTTTTTTTAATGGGGTGTTTTTTTCCTTGTGTAAGCAGGCTTTTTGCAAATACTAGTGTACTGTAGTTTCATAGTTCAAGTACCATTTTGGCAGCAGTATTGAACTAACTCATCATCAGATTTGATGACTGCTAATTAGGAATTAAGTTTTACATTCTAAAGCTGACAGTTAACTATATTTTCTCAGTGGGATGTAACTGTGCTTATATAAGACCATGGTAATTTGATGACTGCAGATAGTTGTCTTTATGGCTTGTGGGTCTGCTCCTTGAGGGAGAAGATGTTACTTTTTTATGTAGAAGTATGACGGGTAGAGCATGTCTTGCTGAGTAGACTGATGTATCTTTCTGCTCTCCTAGACAGACAGTTACAGGTGATGCTGTTCATTGCCTCCCTAACCAATTCCTATGAACAATTATATAACAATTACAAGGGAGGAAAGGAGAAGGGGCTTGAAAGGGCCATATATTTTCTGCTCAATAGAAAGGGTTAAGTTTCAGTGACCTTTGGCTACACTTCAATTTATTTTGCTTGTGTCTTTGATAATACTGAACATGTATAGTTTTTTCTATCCTTTTTGCAGTTGTATTATTTATTATCTGCACATAATATGACTATTTATAGTTTTAAATTGCATTTTAATACATCCACATAATAAACATAACACCTTGTGTGCTTTGATCAGTTTCTTTAACTATGGGAAATAATTTTTTTTTTTCAGTGGAGTTCAGTAAATGCTGATATAAAAGCCAGAACAGGCATTCAAATGAGTGAATATTTAGAAAAAGATGAAAAGCATGTTCGTATTATCTTTGTGTGTTACTTAAAGAATGTTCTAAATGTATGCAGTACCACTGTGCTGGGGGACTGTAGTCTGAAGTAACATGGGAACTAACATATTAATATCAAGGTAAAGGTACATATTCCCCAGATGCATAGTTTTACCTTTTTCAGCTTTTATTATCTTTAGAATAGTGTTCTATTTATTTCATGAATACAGAAGTATTAATTGGCCATGACATGTTCCAAAGACAAAAGAAAGGTCTAATTCACTCTAACAAACTTGTTAGTCACTGTTTATATCAAGAGGATTGTGAATCTACAGAGAGTAACACTGTTTTCTTCTACACTTGCTTTGTTTATAAATCAAAAGTTTTTAAGTGACCTGCAGTGTCTGCTTGCAGTGTAAAATATTACTTCTAAAGCATACCTCTACCATGTAGCACAGATATTTATCCCTCAAGATTAATTCTTTAAGTTCATTTGGGGGAAAGAAGGACCAAAACAGAAATACTAACATTGTGGTGCTTTTAGCATATTGTGACTTTTTTTTTGTTCTGTAATGCGATATTTCATATTCTAAGTTGAAATCCTTCTGATGTGTGTAATCACTTGTGTCTGTGAGCAGTGGGCAATTTGTGAATGCTAAGTTCTTGACTTCTGATTGACCATATGTATATTTTTATGAATAAGTCTAATTTTTAACTTAGGATTTTTAGTATCTAAAGTGTATAGCTGTCTCTCACAGTGATGCTTAGATTAATTTCAGCTGACATTAGTTGTATCAATTTTCTCGTTTCTAATTGTTATGATTTCACAATATTTCAGTTGAATGATTTGTGTGATTTATCTAGTGGAGTACCTGATCTTTAACTTAACAAAAACCAGGGTTTAAAGTTTTCATCCATCCTAATTCAGTTACTGTTTGCTTTGTTCACCAATCACTCTGATCCTCCTAGCAGGGGACAAGACCTAGAGAACAAAACTGATAGTGACTGTGTAGATAAAACGGCAATGAATTCTGCTTTTAAGGCATAGAGGGAATAGTCTGTAAAAGAATAAAAATCGGAATGAAAGTGCAGTGTCTTTAACCTGCAGATCTATTGTACCTTTGAAAAGCTTGTACTCTGAAAAAAACATACTGTGATGCTACAGAGGTTCATAATTATGTGACAGAACTCTTTGAAGAGAGGTCACTTTAGAAATTGACTAAAAAGCTTGTCAAGAAAATAGACCACATTATAAATAATTACAAAAGTAAATAATTCATTTCCTTAAAATGTCTACTAATTGTTTTAGTGAAATACTAGGTATCATGTTGTATTTTATTTATTATAGGATAGACATGTGTTATTTATTTTCTGATAGAGACCCTTTTAAACTTAGTGAAGATGATGGGGTCAACGGTAGTTCTCCAAAGAGGTATATGAGAGAAGTTTCACATGAGATGTTATAGAAGGTAAGATACCAACCATGTGTAGATGTCAGTACTCATGAATTTAAGCCATCATTTTCCATCAAAATTTAAAAATGTGGCTTTCCAGAATTTTGCTCAGAAATTAATTCTAGGGAAATAGCTGTGAATGTGTCATGTAAATAAACATGTGTAATGTCAGAAAAAATGAAAAGAGTGTTTAGGCATGTAATGTTGAAAGCTAACAGATTATTTAAATTGTAAGTAGCATTTTGCCTCTTAATTTCGGGAACCTTAATTTTTTTGCTGGGTATTTAACTTTAGATGATATCAGGTGTTCATAGAGCTCCTCTACAGAATAGAATTGATGCATAGTAATGATAAATTCACTGTTGTATTTAAATTTTAGCACAATGTTTCGTGTGCAAATGTTTTCTACATGTGTGGGTCTATCTTTTTACAAGACAGTGCTATGTGCATGTAGTGCTCTCTAGCTTAACAAATAATGATAAGTATTTTATCTTTACTGCTTATCATTCTACAGGTTTTGCCTCATACAGTGACGGGATGTTCTTAACTAGTTGGTATTTGTATTGATATTTGTAATATACACAAGTAGTTCAGTATGTTAACAGGTGTTCACTTAAGAGGGCTCACTTGTATTTTACCATATGTTTTGTTTGCTTGCAAAGAAAAGGCATCCTTCAAACAGTATCATGCGTTTTGTTTGTCATTTTGCAAAACTATTTGTTTAATTACTTATAAATCCTTAAAAGCATGCTTAAATTGAATAAACACAAGTCTATAACTTTGAATGTCAGTTCAGGTATGTCTATTTATTTTTTTATCTGTGAATTAACTTGTAGGAAGTATGGTAATTTACAGCAGATGATGTGATTGCATATACTTGTAACACTTGCCATATGGTCAGGCAATGAAGGCTGTCATCTCGTTATTACTGAATGACAAACATCATGTTAAAATAATAACACACAGAATAGGAAGTGCTCACATTCATTTATCTTAAGGTAGAGTGAGTAATTGAAATAATATGAATGCTACCATCTGAAATGTCACAGTTTATGCTTGCTTATCATCTATATTTCAGAACTATAATTTTGTTTGCCAGGTACTACATAATTTTTATCTCTATGGATATACAGAGTTATGATGGTACCTCAGGGATAGGTGTAGAGGCTATTTATTGTTTATTTCCTTCCAGCTGTCATACATGACTTTAAGTGCTACTGAGTGCAAAAGGTTCCTTTAAAGAACGGAGAAAACAGTAGCAGAATCTCAGGTTGGGAAGGCGATTGAAGAAAGATATTGGTCTAACACATTGTCATTGGGATGGAAAGTGCAAACTATGATTTTAATTATGTTTTACTAAAGTATTTGGAAAAAAATCCCTTTTATTTCTAATTTCACCCATTAACTTTATGTAGCCATAATATTTTCTCTCTCCATATTAAAGATTTCCTATCAAACTCATGAATTCAGTAGCCAATTCACAAATACATATGAAGTTTGAGCAGCTCTTGTCCTAATTTGCCCTGTACATCAAGTGCTCTCATTTATCTGAATCATATCTGTAGTACCCACTTTGTACAACATTTCGTAAATTTTAAAATAACTTGAAAGTGTTGGCAAAATGTTGTAAAAACCTAAAAGTAAAAACTTACAAAAATAATATGGTTTCAGTATTTTCAGTGTCAAAGATAGTTCTGACATTTTGTATGGCTACCAAGTGCAGGAACCGGCCAGTATTTTACGAGGTTGGGAGTTCAAGTTAGCCACGCACATGCTAGTATAGCTCCTGGAAAAACAGTCTTTGCTAACAATGTACAGAGAAACCTAGAACCCCTGATATATTCCTTAGTGAAAGAGTAGTGATTGAGCTTGTACAAAACCATCCAAAAATATTTCTCCAGGTACTGGAGTAAGTGGTTACTGAGTACAAAACTTGCTCTATTGCCCTTTTCAGGCTTCTGAGGATGTCTCATGGACTAAATCATAATTTAAGTATCTGCTAAAATTAAAATTGCCCCTTATTTCTGGAAATTATCCTTTTTGTGGATATTCCAGAACATTACAGACAGTTTATTTATTAGTCAGACTTCAATATCCATAAACCTCAAAGGACTTTAGAAGCAAAACATAGGTTGAATGGTGTGTTCTTCAAAATTTATGTGAGAAACATGGAAAATTAATCTCTTTATTGGAACACAATAGATTTTTCCTCTCTGTGAATAGAAAATACATCCTAGCTTCCATATTTTTAGGTCCTGAGTTTCTGATATCTCTTGCTGGGATTTGTTTGGGGTTTTTTGAAAGATCAAATTTATACTTTATTTCTATATTTACGACACTTGAAAGAACTTGTTGCTTCAGATGGCTAGTGCAAAATTGTCTATATTTCAAAGCAGTAATCTTTCTGAAAATGTTTTTTAAGATTCAATTAGTATGTATAACAAAATCATAATGAGCTCAAGATGCATCAGGAAGATTCATTAGCATGGCATACTTAAACTTCTGTGTCATTTTGCCTGGAATTTTAAGTTCTTTTACCATCTGCCCTTTGTTCAACAGCTGTATTATTGCCGCTAAAATGTTTTCATCTGCCCTACATTAAAGTTATTTTAAAATTAAGGACTACAGATAGCTTTTGTCCTTGCTCTTCATGTGATATTATTGTCATATAATAAATATATCTGAAAACATAATTTGGAGTTTTTCAAGACAGGCTGAAATATTGTAAACGCTAAAATTGCTTTTTTTAGGTACAACAACTAGAGAGAAGATTCAAAGATATTGAAGGGGAATTAAAGAAACAGAAAGAAGTAAATAAAGACTCACTGAATGAGAAAATGTATTTGAAAGAATTTTTAAAAGTGCAAAAGGAAGATTCAGACACAAGAAAAAGAGAGCTGGAAACACTATTTAAGAGGATTTGTGAGGTCAAAAAAGAAAAAGCAGAACTTCATTTCATGATTGATGAGAAGGAGAAAGAAGCTGCCTCTTAAGTAACAGATGCTAACAGGTTGAGAAATGAAAGTGAAGATTTGCTGAGTCAAGTGCAGGAGCAGAAGTGTTTGTTGGATAAAGCCAAAGCAGTAGTAATTTCTGGGCAATGTAATTGCAAGATAACAGGCACCAAGGTTAAATTAAAAACAGCCAAGAAAAAGAGCTCTTTGGGACATCATGGAGCTTTTCTCAAACAGTCCATCAAGGTTATGAGTAATGTGTTTGAGAACTTCAGTAAGGACGGCTGGGAGGATGTGAGTGAAAGCAGGTACGGCTCTCATTAACTTAGCCCTGTAGAGGGGACACTGTGCATATGTAAAGCACTAGCAAATGGAGATTGAATTTCAACTACTGTTGATTTGGTATTCAAAAAAAATACTGTCAGATCCTTTGAAATATCTTGGGAGGTCTTGTTCGGAGCTTATTGACTGAAATTTGCATGCGAAATTAGCCACAACTGCATGAGTATTTGAATAGGTGCCAGGAAACCCAAAAGAAGGCAATGCTTGATTTCTTCCAGTGATGCTATTTTCATGCAGTCATGAGGCTTGAAATTGACAGTTTGGCAGGTTGATTTAATTTGCTGGCCTTTTGCATATTCACCACTGACAGCTAAGGATTCCCAGGCAAGCCTAGTAAGTCGGTTTAGTTATCTTGTGACATGCCGACCCGGGAGGAGAAACATTTTTTCCCCTTAATTTAGTTAGATAAATTTTGAATGACCCATTTCAGCTTCCTAGCAGATGTCTACAAGCTGTTTAACATCCTTTAAATTAAGAACCATCCACACTAATTATTTCCTCTATGTTTTATGCAGTCATTGTACTAACTTTAATTGAATGATGGTTAAAAATCTTTAAAGGTGATGGTTACCACATACAAGCCCAGTCACAAATCAAAAGACTCTCAAAAAATTCCACTGGCAAGCATCATATAATCAATGAAAATTTTTGCATCTCCTTATTACGTCCCCATATACTTGAGAAGGCAGCAGTTAGCCACTAGGTAAATAAGTGGTTATCACACCTTGTCTTTCAGGACATCATTCTAAGAGACAAGCAAAGGAATTTCTCAAGCCTGTATGTATCCAAGATACAGGAAACATGGGAAAAGAGTAAAGAAAATAGAATTGTCTTTATAGGTTTTATACTCACTCTGTGTGTCACATGGAGCAAATCAATAGTGGCAAATGAAGCCTTTCTACTATTTTTCCCCATGCAAAACAGAGGCTTCCTGAACACAGTAACTCAAGGGAGAAAACAAATTAAAAACCATGTAATCAGTCAGTTGTTATCATTAATGTAAACCTTGGGGTTTTTTATGTATAATTAAATATTGCGGAACTTATTTTAATAAAAAACATACATGTTTGCACATATGAAAACATGTATGCATGTTCTAATTAGTAAATATTTAATTTGCTGTGTTGTTCTCTTTAAGAAAAAAATTGAGCAAGCACATTGTCCTTCCACTTCTGGTTTGAAATGGAAAGTATTTGCATAGCTTCACTTGTGGCTAGCCATAAATACTACTTTTAATAATTGTACAAATATTGGGTTAGGGAATCCTTGTAGAACAGTGAACATTGTTGAAAGTGAAGTTTTAGGGTGTCATTCTCAACAAGTTAGGGAAGTATCTTAATTTAGTTTCTCTTCTGCTTATTAATAAATACCATTCTTTATTACTAGTAGTTGTCTCTGAATTTTTAAATGCAAGCCTTCCATTTTCTAAATAGAATATTCCTGAAAGCAGGTGAGGAAAATGTGTATGTAGTTAGAAATATCTGTCACTACACAGCAGCCTCTTTAAACCATTGCATTGATTTCTGTTCTCATCAGTCAGTGAGACATACCAATGTGTCAGGACAGGTTTCAAACATATAAACATGTTTATGTGTGAACTCTCCTCATCAGTTTGAGGCCTTTTCTCTGGTTAAGTAAACTGCATCTCTAAACCATGGATTTTTATGATGCTGTAACTTAATTTGAACTCAGTTATGCTGTTTTAAATACCTTGGTTTAAAAAGTAACAAATCAAACTAGCCTTCTGTTTAGGAATTCCTTCACAAATCTGCTCACACAAATGATGATATATATAGCTGCCGATATTATAGAAAAGAGTATATCCAAGACTTCATGTTTTAAAGTAGACTTCCCTGAATATAAGAAAGCAAATGATAATGTGGGGTAAGGCAGTGAAAAAAACTAAAAATCAGGAGCACATTAAGTGCAAGTCTAAGGAAAAATTGTAATATATAAAGTTTCAGGTCCAGTTTCTCTGCATGGCAGGAATCTCAGTGAATTAACAGGTTTACAGAATTTAATAATTCTTTGAGAATTTAAGAGCATTCCAAAGGGGTACTAATTAAAGCTTTTATTGAAGTGTGAATTCTGAGTTTGTCTCAGAATTATAGTGTCCCCAACACTATAAATAAACACTATAAATGAAATAATGTTATTAAGGATTGTGCATTTACTTGTTATATTATAAATTGTGTAAATGAAGGAAAGTAGAAATTCAGTAGTTTATGAGCCATTCACAAACTAAAAGTACAATCAAGTATTTTTTTATTTACTTCAGTTCTGTGGATTGTCACAAAAATTGCACTTAAAGAAGCAGCTGAAGTCTCAGGCCTCTGCATTGTAGAGTGAGATTGCATTTAACAGAATAGAACTTGATGAAATAATTTCAGAGATAAATTTTTGCTTTATCATATTTGTAAAGTTTATTTATATGTGCTTATGCATTAACTCTGAAGCATTTAATATTTAGCTTGATTTTATTTTTGACTTTTTTGGGGAGGTTTTGGGATTTTTTGTTTGGTTTTGTTTTTTGTTTGGTACTTCTGTTTATTTTGTTTTTGTTTGTTTGTTTTTTGTTTTCCTGCGAGTGCTATTTCAGTAACTCTGAAATAACAACTTCTGAACGTTTGGAAACAGTGATTATGAAGACAGTGCAAAACATTTATCTACTGCCAGACAGAAGTACACAAGAAGAAAAAAAGCCCTGCAATTTGCTTCATTTAGAAGTCCAAAATGAGCAACATAATAAAAAGGTATATATTGTTTTGTTCTCCTGAGGGGAGTTTTGGAGTTTAATATTAGCACTGCTGCCCCTCTTAATTAATTTGACTCTCAATATAGAAGTGAAAACCTGCTTCCTGATATTCAGTGGACGGATTCATTGTATTTTAAAATATTTTCTGAACAGTATGTCTGCTGTCATGGATTCACCCTGGCTAAATGCCAGGCATCCACCAAAGCATCTTGTTCACCTCCCTCTGCAGCTGGACCGGGGAGAGAAAATATAACAAAGGCTTTGTGGGCTGAGATAGGGATAGAGAGAGATCAGTCATCAAATACTGCCACAGGCAAAATAAATTTGAATTAGACATATAAATTTAATTTTTTACTAACAAAATCAGAGAAGGATAATGAGAAATAAAAGAAGACCTTAAAAACATCTTACTCCCACCCCTCCTTCCTTCCCAGCTCTACCTCCTTCCCCCCAGCAGTGCATGGGGACAGGGAATGGGGGTTATGGTCAAATCACCACGTGTTGTTTCTCCACTGCTCAGGAAGGAGACTCCTTCCCCTGCTCCAGTGTGGGGTCCCTCCCACAGGAGACAGCTCTCCATGGACTTCTCCAGTGTGAGTCCATCCCATGGCTAAGTCCTCCACAAGCTGCTGCTGGAAAAGTGGGTCACTCTTCCATGGGGTGCACTCCTTCAAGGACAGGCTGCTCCGGCCTGGGTCCCCCATGGGATCCATCACAAATCCTCCCAGGAAACCTGATCTGGTGTGGGCTCCTCTCTCCCCAGGTCTGCAGGTCCCTGCCAGGAGCCTGCTCCAGCACAGGCCTCCCACGGGGTCCCAGCTCCTCTCAGGCATCCCCCTGCTCCAGTGTGGGTCTCCTCCACAGGCTTTAGGTGGATCTCTGCATCCTGTGATCCTCCATGGGCTGCAGCTGCTTCACCATGGGCTGCACCACAGGCTGCAGGGGAATCTCAGAGGGAATCTCAGCTTCAGCACTGCTGGAGAACCTCCTGTCCCTCCTTCTGCACTGATCTTGGTGTTTCTTTCTTAATTATGTTATCATAGAGATGCTATCATTTCTAATTGGCCTGTGGTGGGTCTGTCTTTGAGCTGGCTCTGCTACACATGGAAGAAGCTTCAGGCAGCTTGTCACAGAAGCCATCCCTGTAGCTCCCCCACTACCAAAACCTGGCCATATAAATGAAATATATTTATGAAACAATTTGGACAGGTATGTAAGAAATTATTTAAAAATGTAAAGGTTCTGTAGAAGCTGGTGGTGCTGTCTCACAGTCCAGACAAAGACTGCCACAGACATCCCATTAAACTTTCTCTCAGTCAAAAGCACTATACAGAACAGGCTGACCTAACCCTAACAGGGAGATAGCAACACCTCTCCCTCCCTCCCTTGTAGCCAATGGTGTGCTGACTAATCAAGCATAAATGCCTCCCAGCTTGTTTGTTGTGCCCTGGACGACTTTCTCCATCTTAGAAAGATACTTTTGACTCTCTCTGTGTCCAGAAGATTCTGTCTTGAGAAAAGTATGCTTTTAGCCTCTTCCTAGCCTATTTGCATGGATTGTCTGGGATTTGAACTGCTTGTCTCATCTATATTCTGTTTTCTCACAGAAGAGGGCCAGCTGGTTTTGTCCCAGGTCTTTAGAGGCTCCATACAATCTGTAACAGATGAGTCATTCTTGGACTTTTTAACAATGCCTAATAGATTTTCCCTCCTCTGTTTGTCCAAATAAATCACTTAATGGAATTTTACGCATAGGCAGATATTATTATTTCTTAGTTGAAGAAATAGAATATTAAAACACCGAACAACTTGCTGCTTTTAGATAACAAGTTTCAAATTCAGTATTTTGAATGGTGGTATAACAAAGCTTGAAAAAAGATTATGTTTCCTTAGTTTCCAAAATTGTAGCACAAATGGAGACTTTCTGGTCTTGTTACATATTCTTGATTGTGTTATTTCATCAATACTTGATTGTTTTATTTTATCAATTCTTTTTGATCAAATTATCTGAAAAACATGAGAAATCTTACCCATTAATCTGTTGGTTGCACTACATAGTATGAGTAGGTGCACATGCTATATATGAAGATCTGACAAAAGTGTGCTACACCTGTTAATCACCTTCTGCTCATGAATGAGGACATACAAGGCAGGGAACCACAGGACACTCTGTCCTCTCTTCACTGGTAGTGTAGCACAGCCACGACAATTTCTGTAGGGCCTGTATTACATTCACTCTCTATTCCTAATGGAGAAGATGGATACATTCTGATAAACATTTGTAACAGTCTGGTGGAAATGAAGCAAACTCGGGAACGGTCGGGAGAGCCCTAAGCAGTTAAATATGCTTCAGTAGAACTCCCCTGTGGTGGGAAAAGGATTTGAAAACATGGTTTGTGAGTGTGAGAGAAAGTATTGCACAAATATGTAGCATTAGCAGTTGGGAACACCAGTTTTAACAGAATTCTTTAATCCATCCAGAGGATTTAAGGACCCTACTAGTGGGGCATGGTATTCTCATACAAAGAGAGGCTAAAGATATCTCCAAAGTCTTGAGCTGTGCAAGGGGTTGGAGATAAGACCATTTATGATACAAGGACCTGGTCATTTTTTCTCCACATGGTAGGAAAATGTAACACCCTGTGCAGTATCAGCAGTTACTGGTACTCTCTTAGAACTCATACATTTATTAGAGCTGTGGCTTAGAGTGGAGATCTCAGTCTTTTTGCTGCAGTGTGGATTGTTCTCTTGTCATCTTCTGAGAGCTCAGTTCTTGGTCTTTCAAATTGTGTGGTGATTGTACTTATCTAGAATTCATGTCTAAGTTGTCCTGCAATGTCAGTAGCTTGTTCAGTGCAGTTAGTAGAGAATGTGTTGCTCTTCACTCTTTTAAATTTTCTTAACAGCTATTTTAGATATGAATATTCCCAGAAATATGTTGCATGATATGACCTAGAAATTGAAATCTGAAAACTTAAAAAACTGGAGAAATATTGCAGTATTCCTGATCAAAGTGTTTAAATATACACTGAGCATTTAATACCTAGTAAATTAGTACACAAACCCACTGACAGGCTGTTGCAAGATCTGCTTGTTTGAATTTGCATGTGTGTTTTCAGATATTTAGCTCATTATTTTAAAGTTAAATTCTCATACAATAAATGACTGTCAAACAGCATCTTTTCACTCAGTTAAAGCAGGTTTTTACTAAGTCCCTCCTAGTGAATCTACTGACTGATACGAGGTTTTTCATTACCTTTTGTTCATGTTTGCCCCTTGTATCCAACATAGCCAGTGAAACAAATTAAATGTGTTTTGGATTAACAAGGTTAACAAGACACTGAAGCCTTTATTTTTGATAATCTTACTCAGAAATTTGAGACACATGTAACTTCCAAGTCCTTGTTGATTTTGCATTGTTGCCATTTAAAAAAGCACTACATGGAGTGTTCATAAGTTGACTGTTTTATGCGTTTTATGTTTTTATAGGTCAGCCATTAATTTACCAGTATACTTACTAAGAAATATTTTAGAGGTTGCAGGAGTGTTTTGAAGGGACAAAACAAAATCATAAAATATGTTACTTATGATGATTTTGTCCATTTATTAACATGCCATTTTATGTTCAGTGAACAGAGTAAAAGGGAGTAACATCACAGTCCAGAAAGCAGGCTACTCTGTTACACTGCTGCAAGAAAAATTTAAGCCACTGCACAATCAGGTAGCTGTTGTACAGAGGGAAAAAAGACAGCAGTGGCTTCCATTAAAAATGTTTAACAAACCAATGGAAAATTAACAAGTCAGCTACATTTGTCTCATCAGAGACTTCAAGTTAAAAAACTGACCATAGAGATAAAATACTTTTCATTATAGTGTCTTGCAATGTTCACCTTAATTGTAGTGCAAATCTGTGGAATTTTGGTAACATTGATTTTTTGTATTTTAATTTATTATAGTCAAAATTACAAAATATTATATATTACCATGCTTTGTATGGGCCAGTTATTATGTACAGATTATATTGAGGCTACTGTATCAACACAATTCATTTATCCTTTTGAACATATAGTGGTCTTCATGCTCATTTTTTACATGCATTCAAATGAATGAAGTAAATTTCACTTTTAGCCTGTGATCTGCAAACCTTCCTGAGAATCTGGTCAGTCCAAAACTTGTACCTGTTCCCCTGTGGAGAGCAGGCACTGTCTCCATACACCCCAAGACAACTAGAGTTTTCTTCCGAAGGGGACTCAGATCCGTTCCATATCTGTTTAATCCCATCTTTCTCTGTTAAGGTGAAACGCCAAAAAACCACAGTTTACGGAAATAGAGACTAGTAAAGTATTTAGTTAACAACCCAAGGACACAAACTTTCTTCTCTGCTTCAGTCTTCATTTCTTCTCAGTCCTTTTCCATCCTATTACTCCTTTCTGGTTTTCCCCATTCTCATGTATATATGTATTTTGTGTTAATCTATATGCAGCTCCTCAGCTGGAATTCTTTTCTGTTCATACTGTAGTGATTGGCCTGCCCTTTATAGAGCTGAATCAACAAACACTTATGCAGTAATTGTCTCCTGTTGGTCACACACACATCCAGCTTCCAGAATTATAGTGCTACAACAGATGGACTTGCTGGAAGGAGGCAGACATTAAAAAAGAAATCAAATCCCCTCCCCCTCAAACTTCTCTGTGTTTTTGTCTTTGCACAGAAGGCAGAAGCAGTATCAGGAGCAGCACTTTTCACTTTCTTAGGACTAGGGAACTGCTAATTTCTGGAGGAGGGAAAACTTCATTTCTGTTACTCATTTTGCATAACTATATATGTGTAATGAATTGTTTAAAAAGAGTTTCCAAGATCATTGGAACCAGTCAAGATCTGCCTATCTTACAAACAGTATCATAATATAAAGTTTCACAGACAGTATAAACTTCACAGGGAACTATATGTGTAATTTAGCAAAAATGTTCTGATTTCTCAGATGTCTTCATGATTTGC